CCCACAAATGAAAATCTAATGGATTCAAATCCGGAGAACGAGCAGGCCATGCAATAGGACCTTCACGACCAATCCATTTATGGTTGTGCAAAGTGTTGATTTAAAAATTGCCTAGTCACTTGGCTAAAATGCGGCGAAGCTCCATCATGCATAAACCGCATACGAAGTCTAATATCGACTGGAACTTTCTCTAATATTTCGTGCAAACGCGTGCTCAAAAATTCAACGTACTTTGTGCCTGTTAGTTTCCCATCAAGAAAAAAAGGTTTTAAATTAAAAATTTATCAATTATTCCTGCCCATACGTTTAAACTAAACTGGTGTTGATGTCTTGAATGCACAATAACATGTGGATTTTCTTCATCCCAATAATGATTATTATGAAAATTGAATATACCATCCCTGGTAAAACTAACTTACTAGAGTTTGCTCTGTTTATAAAATTCATTATATCTCATAAACAAAGACAGATAGGACATATATTTATATGACGTTTTTTCATTATTTTTAGGCGTACAGTCAGCTCCCGAAGTGGGTCCCACAAGTTACGAAACACCTTGTATATGTTAAATTCGTCAGAACACAAAACATTACAACTATAGAGGGCATTTTACATATCATGTCAGCATTATATAGCATGTCACATTTCTCCCACTGAAATCGGAACTATATATTTTAATGCAACTGATACGGGTGTCACACGCTCGCGAAAAGTCACTTGTCGCGTATTATGCGATTATAGTTTAATGCGATACATGTTAGTATATGTTTGATTACGCGTAGAATGTAAGACGCCCGTAAAATTTAAAATTCGTCTAATCACAAGATTATATTTCAGTGGAAAAAATGTGACGTGATATATAAACACGCGATATATAAACGTCCATAGAGTTCTAACAGGGCAAATTATATTAGGTCATCCCAATAAGTTCGTTCCGGACGTCCATTTCAAATGAACGACAACATGATTCGAAATTTAGTGAAAGGAAGAGACTATCGATTCAAGAAATATCGGAAGTTCTAAATTGTCAACGCTATCTACTGTGCACAAACATTTAAAGAAAATGGGAATAATATCGAAACTGGAAGTATGGAACAATCAACGTGCATGCCTTTGTTTGTTCGCAATACAAAAGAATTGCTAAAACGTTTGCTAGCTGAAAGTGAAAAGTAGATTCTGTATAACAATCTTTATTCAAAGGAGAATCGTCAAAGAAAACGAATTTTGACCAGAAAAGAAGAACAAGTTCAACGGTATGTTAAACAAAGAATTTCGTTTTTCGAATTGTTTCCGAGTAATCAAACAATAAATTCAGAGAAATACTTACTGAATAAAGCAAGAGAAACAATCACAACAAAACATACATATCACATACATATCACAATAATGCCAGGTTATATGAACCAAAATGTGTAAAAGAAAGATTATGTAAATTTGATATTGCCCTTTCAAATTATTAGCTATTTCGATCGTTGCAATACTTTTTAGCTTAGCAAAAAATATGACAATATTAAAAAAGATCTCGAAAAATATTTTATTGAGAAACTAAAGAAATTTTACAACAATGGCATGTCTTTACTAAAAAGATGGGAAGAAATTGTAGAACAAGAGGATGATATTTTACGGGTATATTATAAATTTTAAATAAACATTATAATAAGTATTGTTACATTATTATTATTATTATATTATTATAATAAGTATTATTACAAATAAGTATTATAGAAAACGGAACGAACTTATGGAATGATTTGATATAAAGCAAATTATTTTTGGATATAGATTGGATATAATACAAATTACGGTATGATCCAATTATCAGAATGAAACTTTAAAGTAATAGGAAGAGAGAGAGAGAAAGAGAGAGAGGACTCTGAATATAAAATTTTTGCAAGTCTTTACTAGTTTATGAGATATTAATAAAAAATTTTGAGTATAATATATTAAATTCTGCTTATACAGACGTTACTAACCATAAGTAATCCGCCTTCGTTGTATTAATCAGCGTTGTACAGCACCATCACTGTAGTGATGGCTGATACTTTTTTATGAAAGTAGTGTAAAATGAAGATAGAAATTAAAGCAACTTTATTATATTGATATGAAGAGGTTCTAAAGATTTGTATTTGTAAAAAATTAAAATAAATAATATGTATTTTTATACATATACGTATATTTAATAATTTTCTTTCACATAGTAAAATTCAAAACATTTCCCTAAATATTTCTCCTAATGAAGTAACGCTGAAATTTCCCGCGGAAAAGTAAAGTAAAATATTGTATTTGTGCGCCAGAAAGAAATACCAGACACATTTCTTTTAAAATGGAAAATATAAAAACTCTGCTATTCTTTTTTTATGAAAAAAACCTTCATTAGAATGTATACAGAATTTTCAATCTACTTTCCTGGCAATATGTGATATTAATGTGTTTTAAACGAATGTTAGAATGTTGGAGTCACGAATCACGCGAAAGTACGCCACCGGCTGCTAACAACTATTTTATAAATCACGCACAATCGTGGCGCTGGCCTGTGTAGTGTCAATTGAGTTAAATTTATGCAAATAATATAATTGAAATATAATCTTAAAATGTTTTATAAATGAAAAAAAAAAAGTTGAACTGGCTAAAGATTTGTGGATTGCAAAGATTTTCAAAATGGGCATATTGTGCATCACCGATTTATAAGTTATCTCACTTATAAATTCGACATTAACGATATTTTATTGATATGAATTTTATCGATATTTCACAGGCAATTAGTAGTCTCACAGTGGTTGATCAAGTTGAAAAGAATTAAAGATAACGATCTTAATAATCGTTATGATTAGGTTATAGCCTACAGGCTTAATTGCAGCCTTGATGTCGGATTTTTAGTGGAACAACTCATATATACTGAGCAGAATAAAGATATGAACATAATTCAATGTATTATATTTAAAGTTTTTTATTAATATCTCAAAAACTAATAAAGATTAAAGCTAAAATTCGGAATCAGTAAAGCTTGTAAATAAACCACTTCCACTCTGATTTCGATGATTTGTAAAAATTAACGTTTTAAACAACTTTTTCCTACATATGTAATATATAATATAGATCAGGCCTAATTTTCGAGATATTCGCAAGAAACTGTCGATTTGATGGAAATAATGAATTCTATCTATAAATGTGTTAATATTAGTTGTCAGTCGTTGTACATCGTACGTAACAATATCGTTAATGTCGGACTTACAATGCGGCAATTGGATATCAAAAAATCATCAAAATCGGACAAGTAGCTCTTCTATAACTACACTCAGCTTCCACTACCTCAAAATTCCATTTTATTTTGACGGTTGGATCATATTTATATTATAGTCACTTTCGCGAATATTGAATTTTGCCTATATAGACGTTACTTTTATCTACCATTCATTCATTGTCAAATAACTGATGACGAATAGCGATAGAATTTCTTATCCATTAGTAGTACAATTAAATTTCATTCCTGAGCACTATTTTCTTTTTTAATTTTTCTATATTACTTGTTGGAGTTAGGTTTGTGTTATATATTTTCTTTATTTACAATGTTGCGGAAACTGAGTTTAGGTGAAACATGTTATATTGATAGTGAAACGGATATTGCAATTGTGTTATCCGGTATCTTTGTTAGACTTACCAGTCTAACAAAGATTATTACAGTGTGAATTGCTATATTAATAATGTATGTATAGGCAAAAATTAAACATATTCTATCGAAAATTTTTTGTTATTATCTCGATAATACTAATAAATAACTAAGCTAAAATTTTAATCTAACTTCTTCGCTCCTTTCTTCCAAACCTCTCAAAATTTCATATAGATTGGGAACTTCTCGGAACTATACTTTACTTCTGTTTGATATGTAGTGGAATGGTTTTACTTTTTAGTTTTACACAGTAAGATGTAAAGTTTATTCATATGTATGTGTAGAATGAATCACCTAAAAGCTAAAATATTTTTGAAACGATTAATTATATTTAATATCTGTTTTAAACAAAAGTTAAATAGTTTTGAGAGGAGTGTGAATTGATATAATTATTATTTTTTAATGTTGATGCATGGAAAGCGTTTGACGTCTAAAGAGCACGAAACTGAGCACGAAACTTTGAATAATATAATGCTGCATTTTAATTAAAATATCTCCTAAACTAATGGTTTTTCCGCATAAATAGCTTAATACTTTTTTATAGATAATGATGAATGAATTAAATACTGTATTAAAAAATATAGAATTTCACTTGAAAAAACAAACTTAACCTTCAAATGCTTTTTATGCATCAATATTAAAAAATATCAATCACACACCATTAATATCCCTTTCGAAATCATTCAACTTTTGTCAAAAACATTTTTTGATACAATTAATTGTTTCGAAAATATTTCAACTTCTTAGATGACTCATCAGGTATACTTCAGTTGAAGCTGACATTCCCTGCGCATAGAAACATTTTCTTTAGTATTTCAAAATCAATTGTTATCATCTTTAACAGATTAACGATAAATTATGAAACCAGAGCTTTCAGAACGTCAGTTAGACATGAGTTATAATTCTTGTCTTTTACAAGAAAGCAATCTTATTATTTAAAAATAGTATATTTATACTGCAGAATTGGTTTTGAATTCATACTTATACGTCCCGTAAATGAAACTTTTAAATTAATAATTATATTAAATTTATAAAATAATAATTAATAAATAATTTAATTAATTATTATTTAAATTAATAATTTTATTAAATTTATAAATTATTATAAATTATTTATAAATAGAATAAATTATTTACAAGTAGAAATAAGTAGCTATAAATTATTTATAAATAGAAATAAGTAGAATGCTCGTATTTACTGAGTGTTTAAAAATTAACGAATGATTATAAATTGTTTCTCAATAACTTAAATTTTATTTTATTTTAGCTTTTTTTTAATACATTTTCAGATATGAAAGTTGTCGAATACAAAGAACAACATATTATTTAGTATTTTTTAAATAAAATCATGTTCCATTTTTAAACGGAAATCTATACTTTTAATTATGTAGCTATATCGAAAATACTTTTTCGAAGCACTGTATACCTGTAGTTTTTAAGTAAATTATTACCAAGATACGATTTCTACGTAGTTTATCTTTATCCATTGTACACCGTGGAAAAATTGTTCAATTGGAATACTTAAAACAATTTGTTCATAATATGTTCTTGAATGATATCTACGTATTGAAAGTAAGAATTACTGACTTATGTAAAATTATGTCCACAAGTGTTAAAAAATGTAAAAGAAGAACAGGGCTCGTGCATAGACAGGGACAACTCTTGCAGCACCCCCAATTTTTCTCGATATATAAATATATTTTATTTATTTATATTCGCCTATAATGTAATATTTACTTTAATATAATATAATATAATATTTAATTTTATCGTCAACAATCCTATACAATTATATAACTTTTATTTTTTATAAAAAATAATAAAAATTAATTGTATTTACAATGTGTATGTGCATTTCAAAAATTTATTTCACAATTTCAAACCACGAACCGCCATTGACAATGAAAATATCTAAGAGAAATGGAAACAATGAGTATGGTTTCTGACAGACAAGATATTAAAAGAAAATAAAAAAGTGAATAAATGCTAAAAATTTCTATTAAGTATTCAAATAACAGAAAATTATTTATGGTTATCGAAGCTTTATAATTATTGCTAATTCAATTTTGTATCAAACTGAATTGCTTACACGCACATACACTTACAAATTTAGCTCTTTTTAGTGTCATCATGATGTGTAAAAGTCCACCTGAGCAATCATTCTATAACATTGAATAAGTAATATTGTAATATACGACATGGAAATTTTATATTTGGACAATAATTTATACGAAAACTAAAAACTACAAATATAAATGTACTGAAAATCTCTCAATGTCAGCTATAATATACATTTTCATGTAAAAATACAAATGTGTCTTTTACAGAGCTTTACAAGGTCATTATAAAGTCAAACAAATATCAGAGTAGTATGTAGTATGTTGCCTCTTATGAGAATATATTCTACAACTTTCATTTAAAATATTTCATCGTATCATTTATATTTTTCAAAATATTTTGGTATATGATATAGGTATGATATGTATATTGTATTTAGTTAAATATAGATATATATATATATATATAGATAAGTGTGGATAGGTGCAATGTATTTCAGCCATCCTTTTTCACAAGACGTGCTCAGATTACCGTATGGATAATGAAGTATTATTGTGAAATTGAAATCGGAGACCAATAAAAGGGGAGAACACATTCTCGAGAACAGTCGATCGAAACGATGTCGTTATCAGCTTTTATCAGTAAACATACCCTGTAATGTATGCTCTTATCTAGCATATTCGATCAAGCAGGTTTTTCAATAAAATTTCAAACCATGTTTAATGACAAAAGTCCAAGAACACTTAAACAGACTCGAATGAGTATATTACATATATATGTACACAGTTATATAATATCATTTAATTATATATGCGTTTCTATTTCATTTGTAATCGTGATTGATTAACGATTGATATAGATAATATTAATTAACGATGAATTTTTTTATAAAAATATTACCTACGTTGCTTTGTATATAAACACTGAGAAATTAATGTTTAAAATAGAAAAAAGCAGTTTGGACAAAAATGAAAATAAATGACAACGAAGTTAAGAAAAAAATTTTCTTCAATCCCTTTTTTATAATTTCCTTTGTAATTATAAATAGCACTTCGTGGTTTAAAATTAGTTCATATTAACGAATCAGTTTCAAATATTATAGTAATGTGATCGTGTAAAATTATGTTTTTCTACTTATATTGTTGCTTGTTTTAATTATAAAACAACTTATTATTTGATTGAAAAATGATAGATTTCAGCCTCGAAGAAAAATGTTTCTGTAACATAGAGAAACTTTTATCTGTAAGACAGAAAAACTTTTTATTGTATGTTGCAAAATATCGATTTTACGTTATGCAGTGTAAGCAATAATAATTATAGGAAAATACCTGAAGTTCTTAATACTGAAATAACTTAATACTGAAATGTATTGAATAACAATATATAAATAGATAGATACTCGTGTCTTTAATTATAGCAGTATTTGTTTCTTCCATACATATTTCTATATCTATTTCCACTACTACTTCTACATATTTCTATTTTTATTTTTTTCTATTTCTGTTCGATTATACTGCTATATTATCTGCAACAACATTTATTCGCCCTTCTAGTCTTTCTAATATTTAATTTAAAAATAACTTTTTAAATTATTAAATTAAAATTAATTAAAGAAAATGTGATATTAAAAGTTATTAATAAGACGTAGTTAATCTTTCTTAAAAAAAAAAAAAAAATACTAAAATGTATGCAAAAAATAGGAATGGTAAGCTGTTAGAATATCAATTTTGTAACTTTTTTGTATTAAAGCTATTAGAGAAAAAGAATATCCAGGATAAGTATGTCATATTTGAATTGACATTTTCAATATTAAATGATCACTTTATTCTGTCGTCATTTATCCTGCGCGGTTTTTTTCTTACATAAATATGAAAGCACAAGAAGAATAGAAGATATTAAAAATCAATGTGTTATTAAAAATGACAACCAAACGATATTGTTAAATACCCATATGTATAATCTACTATCACAATGTTAATGATCAATTTTGTCTTGAAATAACGAATAGAATAATATATTGTAACATTTATTTATTAGAATGTTTATTATAAGTAATGTGTTTTAAACACCACATACATGATCTAACGAAATCTAACGAAATAAAAATCTACCAGTCTGAAAAGTATAAACGTGTCGTGTTTAAAAATTTTCAATTAGTAGAAAAAGTGTTGAACTTTCCTTTTAGAATTTTTAATGATCATTGTTATGATCATTTTTACTCATTTTGACAATGGAAAGACTTTAAGTTAAGCATGGATTTTGGCGGACCTATTAATAACAAGTGAAAACGATAAATGAAAATCATTTTTTGTTTTCGACTTCATTTTATATCTAAGTATTTATTATTTAATTCTAAAAATTACTTTTCTGTTTTCTGTTTCAGCTATATATGATACTCTGTAGTCATAAAATCGTTGTTAAATATTTTTGTTCTTTTTCTGTTCTTTTTTTAGACATCTTAAGACAAAATGATCGCAACATTTTTCTTCCAATTAAAGAAAGGAAATCAAAGTACAAAAATTGAAATGATTCGCTTATCTGGTTATCCATTAATCAGTAGTAATGAAAAATATAATTTGTCTTATTTGAAATTGCATAAATTTTTGAAAAATAATCCATTATTTGTTGTAAATACTTATTAAAGACAATTAAACTACGCTTATTATTTAACAAATGTTTTTGTTAAAGACACTGTATATATAAGACACTTATTCCAAGACTATCCTTTTATTTTTCTTTACTTTATGACCTACATATAGCACAGATTAGGAAGTTACACAAACGTTCAATATTCTAATGTCTATTTATACATCTGTTGACACGATTAAAATAAGATCGGATTACTAACAACTCCACAATGTCATTCTAGGTTTAAATAAATTAAATGTACAAATCAAGTGAATATTGAATTATGTCAGATCAACAATTTATTAGAAACAATGAACTCTCCATTTTGTTTGTTTATCCATATATGTACAATATAATATATAGTATATGTAAAGTATAATATATAGTATATGTAAAGATCTAATACAATTAATGGATTAATGTATTAACAATTAATAAATTAATGGATCGATTTAAAGAAAAAAGACATGTTATATTATTCTCTTTCACATAGAGGAAATTTGTGAATACTTACAGTCATCGATTGAACTTGATCGAATTAGAAAACTTCCGTTTCTTCGAGGTCTTTTGACATATTGTTGACGGTTGCTTTAAGGACGATTAATTCGCAACTTTCAGGATTTGATGTTCTTATTTGTGTTTCATTTTGTAATAATAATTCCTGAAGGGTATTATTTTCATTACATTTTGTATTATTTCGAAATCCTTCGCTAGTTTTTGTAGTGCAATCGTTGACCGTTTTCGAAAAACATGGGAGTACCTTTAAAAAATTTCAAATTGGTTTTATTGTGAAATCTTGACAGTATGTAAAATACTTGGTAAGTAGATATTTAAAATCATGGAAAATATTAAAAAAGAAAACAGACGGATATCTTATACATGGTGACGTTGTATTTTATATACTAGACTTGGTTTCAAGTCGATAAAAATGTACAATACTACTTATATTAGATATATTTATTTAATTTATTTATTTAATTAATAAATTTGTAATTCTATATATCTATCATCTGTATTTGTTAGATAACAATTTAAACTGACTTAATAACATATAACAATTATTATAATTGGTTTAAACTTAGAGAGGTTTGTTTTTTGTAAATCACATAGTGATTTTAAAAACCGTTTTTAAAAAGAAGTTTTTTGTAAAGTAAACAGAATTTGAGAAAGAAGAGAATCTCTAAACGAATGATATATGCTCTTTGCTCAACAGTTTTACTCAGAATATTTTATATAAGTCCATGTACGCACGGTACAGAGACACGTGTAAAATGAAGAGAAATTTTATTAGAAAAGATGAAATATAGCGTGAGATTCATTGAACTTGTTAGTAATGATTTAGGGAACACCTAGGTAAAGCAAAATATCTTACTAAATCGGTTCTTTTGAAAATAGAAGGAAAATAAAAGAAAAAAAGGAAGCGCAAAAAAACAAGAAAATTTAAAAAATTCAACAGAAGTTCAATTCAATTCTAAACAAAGACAAAAAATAGAATACAAAGTAGATTCGTACTTGCTTAAATTCTTTGCGAAAGTTATCGTTGAGCCAAGCGTAAAGGAAAGGATTGTAGCAGGTGCTACTCATAGCAAGACAATGTGTCATGAAAAAGCAGAGTCTGTAATAGGTCCAATCATTAGCTGGCGAATAAAAATCGTCAATAACGTTGATGATATTGAGCGGTAGCCAAGATACGCCGAATACAGTGACCATGGCGATCAACATCCGATTCGTTCGTTTTTTCCTCTCTCTGTCAACCTCTTCCCTTTCATTAGTCTTGATGCCAGGTTTCATTTTAGCTCGATTGTTCAACTTGATTGAGACGCAAGTATAACAAAAAGCGATAATGAAAAAGGGTAAGACAAATTGTAGTATCGAAGTAATAGAACTAAAGATCTTGCGAAATCGTTCATCCGGCCAATGTTCCTCGCAATAAATATGTGGCTCCTCGAGGTACATATAAAGCCCATATGGTAAGGTTACTAGCAATGCAATTACCCAAATACTAACGATTACGGCTAAACAAACTTTGATCTTCATGCGAGGATGAAACGGGTATATGATCACCATGAATCTATCGATGGCGATGCTCATCAAAGTCAATGTGCTGATATATACACTAACACCTTGTGCATACGGTACCAAGTGGCAAAGGATTCTTCCGAATATCCATCCTTCGAGAAACGTGTACAAAGGAGTAAATGGAACCGCCAAAACACAGAGTAACACATCGCTTAATGCCAGATTCGTGATAAACAGATTCGTAACTGTCTGCATTTGCCGATTTCGTGCCACGACGAAACATACCAACATGTTACCAAACACACCCAACGCAAAAATATTTGCATAAAATATGTAAAAGATTAATTGCACAAAACTGTTCGAAGTTATATCATTCTCGGTAATAGGTTGACTAGTAGTCGACCATGCTTCCATGACAGTCGTGTTTAACAAAATCGTGGCATCATCCATATCTCGATCGTTCTGTTCCCGAACGCCGATTTTTTATTTCGATCTACTCTCCCTGTTTCACACAAATCGTTTCTAAATCTTGCAGTTCGTTTTCTCTTCTATCTCTGTCCGTTTTTCCGAAATTTCTTTTCCTCTCGAGCTTTTTTCATCAAATTGGCAGAATGAAATAGTGCAATTCAATGAAAACATATTTCGACTGTCGTTTACATTGCTTACGATATTATCAACTAGGCGAATGAGAAATAATTCATTTATTTGTTACAGATGGTTAAATTTGCTTTTTTTCGATCGTTCGCAGGTAATTTTAATGTAAGATCACTGATATGAATGGAAAAATCGTCGATATAATATTACTTATAAACTAATACATATTTTGATTATTCTAAACATTTTTTGATTGTTGTTAATTTGATAATTTTCTGCTTTGTATTCCGTTCACTTTCATCAAATTGTATAACCGATCTTAAAGATGGTGAAATCTGGCATTTCTCGAGGTTACCGAGTTAAAAACATTTCCCAAAAATAGAACGATATTGCGTGATCACGAATAGTATTTCGATCAATGCCAATTACATAAAATCTTTTACATTCAATATGTCCAGTTGAAAAAATATTTTTTCAATTATTCAATTATAAAGGAAAAGATTGCAAAATTCTTTAACTTATTGCTACTCTTGTTATTTACATATTTACCTATTTATTGCATTTGCTTTCACTCAACTTCTCTCTCTCTCTTTCTTTCTAGTTTAAGTTTGTAGCACATTTTTATGCGTTAAATTGACTTTTTTAAAATTACTCAGTTATGTTATTAAAGAATTAAATTATCGCAGAATACTTCGTTTTTAAAGAAATCTAATTTTTTGAATGTTAATTTGTTAAAATTAAAATTCAGATTTATTAATTCCTTGAACCACCTGTTAATTATCTTAAGCATTAGTCTTTACTAATATATCTGCTTTGTTATTATACGAGAAGCGAAAGTGGAAACAAATCAAATAATCAGATAGAAGGAAATCAAGAAATAAAAATTTCAAATCAGACATAGAAAATTATATAAAAATGTCAATTGCAATGGGTGTTTGATAATTATAACTGTGCCACGCTCTTATTAAATCAATCAAAATAAGTATACTAAAAACAAAATGTACACTAGGTATTTACTACAATTGAATTGAATACAAAGCACATAAAAATTTTTGCAAATCACTTTACACACAATTTTTACAAACAGTTTTTATATTTCCATTCTTTTATATCTATTTTTACAAGTACTTATAATTTTTTCTCTTGAAGATAAAAAGCAATTCGATATTTTTCATGTCCAGATGACAAAGCGAGCACCACACATTTAGCAATGTATTGTAATTTTTAACGCTCTGAAGTGACGACCACTCTTTTCCATCGATAACTGAAAATGGGAAATTGTTGGCGAAACCTAATAGACAAGCCGCCGTTTCCTCGCGCAGGCGTCGACATTATCCTCGTCTTCACATGCGACGTTGTCGATTCAGTATAATTTGAAGGTTTGAATTAAAAACATACTGAAAATATTCTATGAAATTACAAATAAGATAAAACTACAAATTACAGTAGAATTACATAAATAAATATTATTTATATGGTATAAATAAGATTTCATACAGAATCTATTATATTCTTAATATTTTCCGATTTTAAT